AATTGTAGCCTGGTGCTTCCTTAATAAACCCCGTAATCTGTGAGTTCTGTGTGGCCACTGCAGTGAATTATCGAACCCAGGAGAGAGGTGGTGGGTGCTTTGGGAGGAACGGTTGGTGAAAGGGCTGGAAGGAGGCAGCATGTCTGGCCTCACAGTAATAGGCCTTGGGTTACTGATAGTGACTTTGTCTTCCTCTTGTGAGGTTAGAGGAGGTCAGAAGATGTGGCCTCCCTGCCCTTTTAGCAGGCCCCCATAACAAAATACCACGAAGTGTGTGCTTCGAAGGACAGGGATTGATTTTCTCACAGTCCTGGAGGCTGGGAGTCCAAGCCAAGGCCTCAGTTCATTGGTTCCTTCTGGTCCTTGAGAGCCTTCCATGCCTCTCTCCTGGTTTCTGGCGACTGCAGCAAGCCTTATTGTTCCTTGGCTTGTGGATGTGTCCTCACAGGCTGTCTTCCTCCTGTGCACGACCCTCTCTGCCTTTGTTCTCCCCTTTGATAAGACACCACTCAGAAGGGAGTTGGGTTGGGACCCACTCTACTCAATATGACTTAGCCTATGTCTTCCAAGAGGAGACCCTGGTGCTGTGAACAGTTCATGCATTTGGCTGCTAACTGCAAGGTGGGAGGTTCAAGTCTACCCAGAGGCTCCTTAGAAGAAAAGCCTGAGATCTACACAAAAGGAAGCCTCCATCACCTGTGGAGAGTCAAGACGAAATGCCGTGCAGACTGTGGATGCCATTTTGGGTTATGTACCAGCTGACAAGCAGAGAGAAGGTGGGCTGAGGAGAGAAGAAAGAGAACAGAGCATTCTTCAGAGAGAAGTGGGCCCCATGGCCCATGAAAAAAGGAGGGATGGATTTTCCATTCCTGTGAAGTTGGGCTTCATCTCTTATATTTGGTTTCTTTAGGATTCCAGCATCCTTAGAATATCCTCTTACTTGGACCAATTTGAGTAGCCTTCTGATCTTTGCTTCCAAGCAGCCTTGACCAGGAATAAGACAAGGAAGTCTACTCTTAGCACTTCTATTCAGCATCATAATGGGAGTCCTAGCCAGTGCAGTAAGAATAGAAAAGAAAATAGAAGGCATCAGGATAAGAAAGGAAGAAATAAAACTACCTTTGATAGCAGGATAGTGTGCACAGAAATTCCAAAAGGATATGTAAACAAAACTATTATAATTAATAAGTGAAGTTACCAAGGTCACAGGATACCAGATCAACATGCAAAAATTAGTGATGTCTATATACTGTATCAACAATATAAGGTCACTATTCATTGTAATTGATTTGATGGCAGGCGTTTTGTTTCTGGTTTATGCTGGCAACATACAATTGGAAAATGCAGTTATAAAGCTATACCATTTAAAATTACCTCACCATTATGAAATAGTTGGGAATACCCTTAATTGAAATATATATGCGATCTCTATACTAAAAACAACAAAACACTGCTGAACTAATTTAAAGATTGTCTAGATAAATGAGAGCTATAACATACTCAAAGATTGAACAATTCAAGGTGGCAATATCCAGCCGTCAGTAATCCGCAGATTTACCTCTGGGGACAATGCAAGTTCAACTGAAATCCTGGCAGAACTTTCCTTCTCCTTTTTTTTTTTTTTTTCTTTTCCAAAAAAACTTTTTGTTGTGATTTGAATGAAAGTTTACAGAGCACACCAATTTCCCATTCAACAATTCACATGCATCTTGTTTCTTGTCATTGGGTGCAATCCCCTCACTGCAACCTTCTTCCTCCCGCTTCCTCCCTGTGTTTCTTGTTTCCATTCCTCCTTCTCTCCTAACCTTCCTTCCTGCTGAACTACGTTCCTGGACAAATGCTGCCCTTTTGATCTCGAATGGTTGATTGTCCTAAGAAATGCATACCTCCCTAGTGTTATTGCTCACCTGGCAGACTTGTTTATTTTTTGACTGAAAATTGAGCCACGGGAGTGAATTCAGTTCCAGGCCCCAAGGGTGGCTAGGGATCGTAGTCTTAGAGGTCCCACCAGTCTCCACCTGACCAGTTGTTGTTAGATGCCGTAGAGTTAGTTGCAGCTCATAGTACCCCGTGGACAACGCAAGGAAACCCGGCCCGGTCCTGCGCCAGCCACATAATTGTTGCCGTGCCTGAACCCATCGTTGCGGCCACTGTGTCAACCCATCTCGTTGAAGGTCTTTGTCTTTTTCATTGACCCTCTACTTTAGCTTCATGGTGTCCTTCTCCAGGGACTGATCTTTCCTGATAACATGTCTGAAGTCTGGGAGGCAAGGTCTTACCATCCTCTCTTCTAAGGAGCATTCTGGAGACAGATGTGTTCATTCTTCTGACAGTCCATGGTACAGTCAGTATACTTTGCCAGCACCACAATTCAAATGCATCACTCTTTCTGTGGTCTGCCTTATTCATTGTCCAGCTGACTCTGAGCAGGAAGCCTAGTCTTTTTTTTATGATTTTGAGTTTTGTTCCACACTTTTCTCCCACTCTATCTAGGACCTTCTAGTGCGATCCCTTTCAGAGCGGTGGGTAGTGGTAGCTGGGCACCATCTAGTGCTTCTGGTCTTAGGGTCATGTAGGTTCAGGTTCACGTGATCCGTTATTCCTTTGGACTAACTGTTTCCATGTGTCTTTGATTTTTTTTCTTATAGACCTTTTTCTTACAGACATTGTCAAGCTGATTCTAAAATTTATGTGGAAATATAAAGGACTTAAAATAGCCAAGACAGTCTTAAAAAAGAACAAAGTAGGAGGACCTACACTAGCAGATTTCAAGACTCACCATAAAGCTATAGTATTTAAGGCAGTGTGGTATGACATAGGAGAAATAAATAGAGCAATGAAAGCAAAGAGGAAGTCTTGAAATAGACCCGCATCTCTGTAGGCTTTTCAACAAAAACACCAAAACAGTTGAGTGGGGGAACAGAGATTTTTAAAAATTTTTTATTTTGGTGAAAGTATACACAGCCAAAGACACAGCATTCCATTTTTTCCGTGTAAAATTCAGTGATATCAGTGATTTTCTTCACGTTGTGCTACCCACCTCTCCACCCTCTTCCAAGTTATTCCACTACCGTTCTGTTCCACTCACTGTCCCCTAAGCTTCCCACCCAACCTTTTGAATTGCCAGTATTCATTTGCTTTCACATCATGTACAATTCTTGAAAAGAACACAGCGCTCAAAGTAGACATACTTTGTTATTGAGATAAGCTATTTTTTGGTGCAAAGAAGACTTCAGGGATAGTTTTGGTTTAACTCTTTTGTAACCAGTGTATTAGTACCATGTACGTTTCCCATCTCTAAAGTTTCTTGGGAGGCTTTTGTCCCATGTAGATTACATGTTGGCATTGGGGTGGGGACTTGCATCACTGAGTAAAATAAAAAGAAGCTTGTTGGCAAGGTGTTGCTATGTTGAGAGGTTGTGTGAGGGGTGCATCCTGGAGGTGTGAGTGTGTATAACTTCTGTCTTTTTGGGTTCTGTATGGTGAGATATGGCTTCTACACATATTTATTGTTTCCTGTGTGTTATTGGGAAGGTGCAGTGTTTGGGATTAGGTAATATTCAAGTGAATACTTTTTCCATGCCTCATCCCACCTATCCTACCACCAGAGCCTATTGGGACATATGTCTCCCACATAATATTTATCAAAATCCATCACACGTAGCAAAAATTTAAAAACACTCAATGACTCAGCATGCATTCCATTAGTAAAAAAACATCTTATCTACAAAATCTTACCAAAAAATTGGTAAGGAGTGGGTTAAAGTTTAAAGTTGAAAGACTATTTCAGGGCAACAGTTTCAGGGGTTCAGGGGAACTTTCATGACTCCAGAAAGTCTGAATTCCATGAGAATTTGAAAGTCTGGAACAGAGGCCCTTTTAGAGTAATGGTATGGCAACAACTGGATGTCTGTATGGCCCATAGACCTAAAAGTGAAAGCGGAGACCATAAAGCTTCTAAAAGGGAGTACAGAGTAATTTCCTGATCTTGAAGTAGCCAAATAGTCCTTAGACAGATGTGAAAGGCACAAACAATAAAAGGAAAAATCAATCAATTAGAATTCATAAAATTAAACATTTCTGCTCATTAAAAGATGGGAGAATTAAAAGACGTGTCACAGACTGGTGAATGGGGAGGTGTTTGGGATAGACTTAAGTAGGTAAGGTGTCCTGGTGGTGCAACAGTTAAGCGCTTAGCTGGTAACTGAAAGGTTGGTTGTTCAAAACCACCCTCTGGTTGTATGGGAGAAAGAACTGGTGATATGATCTTATAAAGATTAAATCCAAAAACCAAACTCACTGCCCTCAAGTCAACTGTGATTTATAGCGACCCCTCCTTGGGTTTCTGAGGCAGTATCTCTATGGAAGTAGATTGCCCAGTCTTCCTTCCGAGGAGTGGTTGGTGGGTTTGAACCACTAGCCTTCTGGTTAGCGGTCAAGTGCCTTAGGCATTACACCACCAAGGCTTCTTTAAAGATTATAGTCTAAAAACGCTATGGGGCAGTTCTCCTCTGACACGTGGGTCACCATGGGTCAGAATCGACATGATGGCACCTTACAACATTAACATTAAGTAGGTTCCAGACAGGACACACAGTAGGGTCCCGTTTTAGGAAGGGAAAATACACAGAAAACAAGATTTGCTACCACTGACGGCGGGTCAACACATCTCCGCGGAGACGTCACGGGGATTTCCTTGTCCTTTTCTCACTTGTATGTGACAGCTAAAATTCGGATCTTTTACAACAGAAAAGTAGGAACTGGTTATTTGTTTATTTTTAAAGTTTTAATAGACTTTATTTTTAGCACACAGTTTACTTTTTTTAAAAAAAGCAGCTGTAGGGTTTTGTTTGTTTGTTTTTAACATGAATGACTAAAAGTTCACTTAGAAATTTTTAAGAAAAAACGCTCCACACACCCTTTGGCCTGTGAGGACTTTGCAGCCCTGGTCCTGGTCCATCTTTTCGCGAGCCGGCGCCCCTCCTGATCCCAGTTCTTACCTCGTTTTCTGGGCTCCTGGGTCTGTCTGAGTTGGAATCCTCCGAGGAGGTGTTCTGCTTGGGGGATCGTTCAAGGCCAGGGGCTTGTTTATAGACTTTCCATTTTCCAGTGAATCTGTGATGTTGAAGAAACATAGTGTGTTAGAAAACACAGTCTTCCTCCTTTGCAGGCAAGTCTGTGTGACGGGCACAGTAGCAGCTGTCTCCCTGGACAGAAAGAGAGAGGAGGGGGCGTTCCTCCTTCCGTGCCCCTACAGGAGAATTTGTCACACCTTGTGCTGTATTTGGGGTCCCTGGGTGTGCTGTATTTGGGGTCCCTGGACGGTAATGCTCTCCGCTGCTAATCTAAGCGTTGGTGGGTGGAGCTCACCCAGAGGCACCGCAGAAGAAGGGGCTGATGATCGCCTTCTGAAAACTCAGCCCTGAAAACCCCACGGAGCTCGCTTCTGCTCCGAGGCACTCGAGGGGCCATGAGTCAGATGCAGCTGGATGGTAACTGGAGTGTTTTCCTTTGTTGGGGGGTGGGTAGGTAGTGCTGCATTTGCTGACTTGTGATGCTGTTGTCTATGAAAATGATAATTGTGGTACGAGAAACTTCACATACACATACTTGTGCACTTACATGCACACGCACACGTGTTGTTGTTGTTAGATGCCGTCAAGTCAGCTCCAACTCATAACAACCCTGTGCACAACAGAACCACACACTGCCCGGTCTTGTGCCATTTCACAATCCTTCCTATACCTGAGCCCATCATGGCAGCCACTGTGTCAACCCATCCCACTGAGGGTCTTCCCCTTCTTCACTGACACTCCACTTCACCAAGCATATCTTTCTTCAGGGAATGGTCCCTTCTGACAATATGACCAAAGTAGGTGAGATGCAAAAATATTGTTCCACATCCTACTTTGGCGAGTAGTGACTAGGATCTCAAAAGCTTGCATGTGGCCATCTAGATGCAATGATGAGTCTCTTCTTGTCCAGAGCAAAGAAGAATGATGAAAACCAAAGATACATGGAAACAATTACTCCAAGGGACTGGTACACCAAGTGATCCTCAGCCTACACAACTATGAGATCAGAAGAACTAGATGGTGCCCACTACCACTGTCAACCACTTGGAGGGGGATATATGTATGAGATTGCTGGATAGAGGGGGAGGACAAAGTGGAACAAAATTCAAAATAATTAAAAAAAAAAAAA